ATCTCAGTGATGGTAGGTCTCTCTCAGCAGTTGGCTTCTTAGTTCTTTTGTAAATGGAAGGTTTCTGGATCTCTCTTAGAACCTCCTGACTGACTAGTGGGATTGAATGGGACCAATACTTTAGCACGCTTGCTCATCTGAACCTTTCAGTCCTTGCTTTCAGCTGTGGCAGTTCTGCTTCTCTTGGCTTAAGCCATCACTTCTTTCGTGCTTCCAAAAGCTGTCCTTGTAGCATTTTAAACATCATTTCTCAGCGCCCTTGCCAAGGTGTTAAATCTTTCATCATAGGAGAGTGCTTCTACTTCTGGAAATCATTCCTTGCCAAAGTGTGTGTTCTAGTATTGCTTTCTATGCAAGACTGTGAAGACCAATTCCCTATGTGACCTCCAGGGTTTTCCCACTACAGGTTACCTCTGCTTACAGTTCCAGGGTGGAGGGGGATCCTTTGTTTCTGTTACAGGCCCTGCGTGTATGTCATTGAATTATTTTTTAACTTAACCCTAATTACTGGCCTAATGGCCGGGATGAGAAATGGAGATGGATTCTGAACGGAAGCAGTATGGAAGTCTGACTTTGTGTCTTGCTTAAGTGTTTTCTCATTTTTATTTTTGCTGTTGGGCTGTCCTTGGTTTAATCTCTGGGTTATCACCCAAATCTTCCTGATAGAATTGCGCCCTAGTTTTTGGGTCTCTAACGATCCACAGACATTCTCATCTTCATAACATCAGAGAAAACAGCTCATCGGATCAACCACAATCCTTTATCCCAACTGATACAATCAGCAACACCTTATGATCAAGCACCACTTGGAAACTGACCACCTGTGGTAGACACTCGTCTATCACCTTTAAATTTTAAATCAATGATAAGTGTATTAGGATCACCTGATTTTTCTCCTTTAATTTGTAATTGGGATGATTACATTGATTTTGAAATATTCAGTCTTACATTCTAGAAATAAATCCTATTTGATTTTATGTATAATTTCTTTTTATACATTGCTGAGGTATTGGCTAATTTTTTAATAATTTCCTTGTGTATTTTCATGAGGAATATTGGTGTGAAGTTTTATTGTTGTCTGCTGTTATATTTTTTTGTTTTTTGGTAGTTTCTTCCTTTTCATTTCTGTTTTCTTTTTCTGGTCTGCCTATGGTCTGTTTGAACATTTGCTGTGAATGACATTTTTATTTATCTACAGTGTTTCTGAAGTATCTTTCTTTTCATGTGTGTGTGTGTGTGTGTGTGTGTGTGTGTGTCTGTATGTTTGGTTGCCCTGGATAATATATTTTTAATGTATAAATGATTACATTTTGTTGTGTTTATATTTAACCAGTACAATGGACATCTATTTGCTTTGTAATGTTGGCTATTTTGCAGTTCTAACATTTTCACTTGGTTCTTTTTGTGTTTTTAATTCTTGTTCCTGAACTGGAAAACCCAGCAATATATTTTTGTACTGCAATTGAAGAAAAATGTATTATTACTTTAGATCTGCCTTTGGAAGCTACAGAGAACAAGAATTTTAAGTGATAAGTATTATCTACATACTAATAGCTGTGATACTTCAGAAGTAGTTTCTGTATGATTTACTTTTGTTATCTTGTGTAATTCTTACCAACATCAGTTTTTACTCACTCAGCAAGTGTTTACTCAGTATCTAAAAACTACTTTTTAGTTCAATCAGATGTTTTTGCTTTAGCCTCACATGGCTAAAGGGCTTATCTAATTTACAGAGAAATAATCACATTTCTGCCTTTCTGGTAGATTACAGGCATTGGGGGAGGAGAGTGTGAAGTGAATTCTCTTATTTCACAAACATCTTTCGGGGTTGTACTGTATAGGTGCCATACCACTTTTCCCTTTCATCTACAGATTTGTTAATGTTTAGTTGTGGAATAATGTATTTTAAAAGAGCAGTGGGTTTTCTGAGATGCAAATGTTCTGAGCTTTTTGAGTAACCATGGGAGAACAGCATAAGCATCCCCCGGGCTGGTCATTTTCATTTATCTCGCTGTGTTAGTCTAAATCCCAATTGTTTATCTGTGCCGTGAAAAAAAAATTTGAGATTCATTTCTCTAGCTCACAGGATGCAGAGAGTGGTTGTTTGTACAAATTTCATTTTGTGTGTGTTAGATAATACAGCTGCATTCTTCACACATAAAGTTTTTAGTCCTCAGTGTTTCTCCAACATTGGTGAGGGCCCGGGATTTAGCTCAGTTCAGTGGTGTGGCCGCCTGCCTTGCAAGCACAAGGTCGGAGTTTGATCCCTGGTACCAAAACAAAAAACAAAAACCAAAAAACAAAAAAACAACACCATCCAGAGGCTTGCTGAAGAAAAGAGGGCTGGACTCCACCATCAGTCTCTGATTCATTGGCTCTAGGATGGGGCCCGTGATTTGCAGTTCTAACATGCTTGCAAATGATGTTACTAATGTTATTTTGGGGATTTCACTTCCAAAACCATCCATCTACATAAATTTTTCCTTCCTTCTGTTTCTCAAATACTGTAATCTGATTTTAATTGTAACCATTTTATTTAAACTGCTCTTTCCACATCCTTTTAAGTCTTCATGTTGCCTAATTAAATTATACTTTTCAGTTCATCCTATTTAACACGTAGAGATCATTTAAAATAGTTGATTGATCTTCCTTTTTAGGAAACACTTCTATTTGGAGTCTTTCCTTTATTTCCTCCTCCTGTTCATTCTCAGCCTGCTCTTTCTTAGTCTCTCTCTTTTTTTCTCAAATGAAATTCTGAATGTCCTGGTCATACATTATGTACCTTCTGTTCTTAAATGATCTCCTTACTCCCATCTGTAGGCCAGTAATTCCCTATTTGTATCTTCAGATGAAAATTTCTTTTATTTCATTTTGACTGATTATCTTATTGTATGAATAATTTATAGACATTTTAAAGAATGTATATCCAAACCAACCAGTGTTACTAACAAATGCTAAAATGCAAGTTTTTCTCATTTTGATATCATGAAATCCCTGGACCTTAGTGCCATCTTAGGTTCTGTGAAATGCAGGAATTCACTCCCTCTCCTTCCCTATGAAAAGTGCTGTTCCCTCAGTCTTGTCCCTCATCCATCATCTTTTCTTTTAGTTAGTTGTCAACAGCCAGGAGCCTAGGAGGTCACCTCGACACTTCAGTCTTTCCTAACACTGATTTCTACCTATAAAACATTTCCCAGTTTTCTTACCATGTTTGTTGCTAACACCTTGGTTCAGGCTGTGATCACCTTTACAGGGATTGTTGCAAATGCTATTAACTTTTAGTTTTCTTTTCTTTTTTTTTTTTGGTGCCGGGGATTGAACTCGGGTCCTTGTGCTTGCAAGGCAGGCCACCGAACCGCTGAGCTACATCCCTGGACCTACTTTAGTTTTCTTTCGGTGCTGTCTCTGTATAGTACTTAGATTTATCTTTTTAAAATGCAAACAAGATCATGTCACCATTTTGATTAAAATATTTTGGTGATTGAAATTTAAAACCTTAGTGTAAAACACCTGTCTAAACTGTGTCTGCTGTTCTGCTGTGTGGCAGTACTGTTTAGCACTGTCATCTCTTTCATTCTTTTGGCTCAGACACACTGGTGTCTGTTCCCTTTCAGTGCCAGGTTTTACCTTTGCCTGGAATGCTCTTTCCTCTGCTTCGCATCTGCTGTCTCCTCCCTTGTTCATTAGCTCATGTCTTTGAGTTTTCATCTTTAACGTCATTACTTTAAGGTATTTGCTGACACTAAAATCTAAATTGGAACTTATTTGTTTTTGTTTTCTTTTTTATGGTGCTGGTGATTTATTGCATTTATCCTCACTGTGTTGTAAACATGTTTCCTTATTTTACTCTTTGTGCCAAGGCTTAGCACAGGACATAGTAAATGAAGGTGTTCAGTCAATATTTTTAAATAAATGAAAGAATGATTTGAGTTTAAAAGCATAAATGTGCATTATATAGACTAAAAAGAAGTTCTTTTCAAATAGTAAGTATTAACTGTGGAAAAAAAATCCATCAAATTTGGGAAGTGGGTCTTCATTCTTAGTTGCCAATTATATAAATGTCTAACAAAAATGTTTAAAATTTACTTTTTATAAGAATGTAATTTCTGAAAAAGGTTGTTTCAAAGTAATATTAAGTAATTTATGATATTGGAATAAAATTAATTTCATTTCTAAAATAACAATTGGATGAATCTCTTTTGTCATTTTTATAGAAAATTAATCCTTTTTACAACCAATTTTTCCCCCCATTAAGTTTTTTGGTACATTTAAAGCGAACAATACAGTTACATTTATCATTGGGATCTTGTACCTTTACGTGGCTTACATGGTTGTTTTTAACCACTCAAATTTTTGAGAATTTACCATTATAAAGAATATCATGCAGCATCCAAGGAACATTTATTATTTGACTTTTTAAATAGAAGTTATTGCCAAATCACTTTAATTTTTAAAATGTTTATCAGTCTTGGGAGAACAAACTCATGCCTTTAGGCCAGCATGGAAAAAAATGAGAAACAGATAGCAGCTGATAGTCTGTTTCTTTTTCAGTGTATCCATTGTTTCGTTTCTACTCTTATTCTTCCCCTTTTTCTTCCTGCAGGACTTCGGTAGTGTCTGCCTCGAATCCATAACCCTCATGGTCCACAGTCTATGAATTCATTCATTTGGAATCTTAGCTTTCTCTTGTGTATATGATGAGTGTGACAAAGCTTTTGAAATCAGACAGGATCACAGAGTTCAAAATGCTGATAATGTCTCTGTCTGTCCTTTTCCCTCTGTCTCCTTTACTGCACTCTTGTCTATCTGACTTACAGGAGACATGGATTACAACTGGCTGGACCATACGTCTTGGCACAGCAGTGAGGCATCCCCAGTGTCTTTGGTGAGACATGTGGAGCCTTACTATTTGATTTCTGTTATCATTTCACTTTTCCTTTTTATTTACACCTTTGCATGTTTTCTTTTTTTGTATCTTTTTTTTTATCCCACACCTTTAGGGGACAGTCAAAAGGGAAAAAGAAAAATTAGTGAGCAGGCAGTTTTGTCGGACTCTAACACCAGGTCTGAGAGACAAAAGAAAATGATGTACTTTGGTGGCCACTCTTTGGAAGAGGATTTGGACTGGTCTGAGCCTCAGATTAAGGATTCTGGGGTAGATACCTGTAGTAGCACAACCCTTAACGAGGAGCATAGCCATAGAGATAAGGTACTGAGATTGTGGAGCCTGCCTTGTACCTGCTCATTTGGTCTTTGTTTGCTCTCTGTCACCCATTAAAACAGAACATAATAAAAGGACAGGGCATTTCAAGGGTCGATGTAGCATTTCTTAAGGTGCAGAAAAGAAAAACAAAACAAAAATCAAAAAAACCAAAGAAGCTCTTGCTTGTTTTGCTGTTTTTATTGTTTGACAGCATACCAAAAAAATAAAATAAAACTTAGGAATAAAGGAATGTTTTGTCTATGGTTGCATACAAGAACTTTGTAATGTTATTATAAACCACAAATAAGAAACACTGTTTTGGATTGGCTTATTTGATTGCTTCCATATATTTTCCTTGGGATGAAAATTAAATTAATTAGTAGTTTGAATCCCAGGCAAAAGGGCGAAAATTGGGTCTATTTGTACAGAAAAAGTTGTTTTTCTTTTTTCCCTTTCACTGTCATTTTACTTTTTTGTTTTGTTGTCACAGCATTTTAATGTAGTATTAATATTAGAGCCATTGTCATCTGCTTTGGTATTTATTACTTTGCTTTTAGTATAGTGAGGCTTTTGAAATCTTTTTACCATATAGATGTGATTGACTGGAATTTGTCTTTTTGCCTGCTAAATTTTGCATGAAGATATGCACGCTAGTTTTTAGATCACTGAAACTACTATGATTACACAAATCATCTACTTTATTTAGCATATGATTTATAATTGAATGGTGCCTTCATTTATAAAAGCCCTCATTCTACTTTGAGAGAAAATATAAACTGTTAAGATTTTGAAGGTCATTTAACAGTGAACATTATTGACTTACCTAGTAAAGGCAATTTGCTAAATAAATCAGAGATCTGAGCTTCTGTGAAGGGCGGAATGTGACCTGTCCTTCCTTCTGAATGAAGCCTGTTTGTGTGATTGGAAAGTTTTGCGGGCTTGTTCATTTTTAAAGAATTTTAATCTATAAACCTATTCAAGAAAATTTCCAACATGGGTTTAGATTTTGTGTTTTAATGATTTGACCTGTTAATTTTTATTGTAATAGTTTTTCAAAATCTTTCTGAAATGTTTGAAGAAGAAAGTCTCTTTTTTACGTGAGTTCATCAACATAGAATTTCAATCTTTTCTGCCTTTGAAGTTTTGCTTAATCTTAATCATGGATAGTTTGCATATATTTTCAAGAAATTTCAAATTTTGTTAATCTTTATAACTTCAGTGTTGTGTCAGAGAGCTGAAGAATTTGACGTAATTTGATTTGAAAAAATTATGGAGATTATAAAATTTAGGTTCTAAGAATAATGTAAGCTTTTTTGCTCAGTGTTTTGAAACATAAGCTGGTCTGTGTAATCATAACACTTTAGATTTCTGAACTTAAGAGAGATTGTACAATTGGAAGGCATTTGTCAAAAAAACATTAATTTTTCTTGTTTGTTGATGCAATATGTTAGCACCCTGTGACCTGGCAGCCATCTAAAGATGGAGATCGCTTAATTGGTCGTATTTTATTAAATAAGCGTCTAAAAGATGGAAGTGTACCTCGAGATTCTGGAGCAATGCTTGGCTTAAAGGTATGTAACAAAATGTATGCGAGTCTGATTCGTTACTCCTTTACAGACTTGTCAGAAAAACAAAGGATTTAATAACTCTTTCTACCTAGACTGATGTAGACATTTTTCCCATATCGCGAGTTTTCAACTAGTGGCAGTCATCTAGAACTTTTTATTTTCCACAGTAATATTTATGTAATATCTTGGAAGGCAATGATAATAACCTGACTAGAATAAATTAGAATCCTAACACAAGATCAAACTACATAGCTTTTCCTCTAAATCTGTGCTATGTTTAAATTACATCAAAATAGTAGTTTTACTTAATTATTCATTATGCAAGCTTGGGAAATGTAATATGTGCATTACCTAGAAATATAATTTTTGTATTAATGTAGTAAAATGTGTGTGTATGTGTGTAGAGAATGATGTTCTAAGCCTCAAAACCCCAGAATGCTTAGGAGATTAAATGTAAATATGAATTCACATTTTATAAAATATAAAAAATATTTGGTAAATACAGCAAGTAGAACTGTGTTTGGTTTTGCAAATCTGTGGTCAATAAAAGCTTCAGTGAAAACAAAGTAAATGTTTTAAAGTTAAGCCATTGCGACAGAAACTGTCCTGTACAGTATGCTAAGTAACAGATATTAGACAAATTTGAGAGTCGGTTTGGGCAACTAACATTTACTGAGCTGCTACCACGTGACTGGGAGTCATCTCTGGATTTTGCATCTGTCATTGTATTCAGTGCTCACAACAGATAAAAAGCTAAGCTCACAGAGGTGCTGTAGTCCCTCCCAGTTGTCTGGGACGGCGACAGTGGTGGGATTGACATACAGGTTGTCAAGCAGAGCTGAGGAAGTCTGCCCTTGAATGCTGTCCATGGGGCTCCCACCTCCATGGCACTGACCACTGAGCTTCTCCACTTGCTTCGAGTTCCTCATCTATACAGTGCGGACAATGTTTGTTGAAGTTAAAATGAGATTAAATAAACCAGTAGCAAGCATTTAGTATACTGTATTACATACTCTACAATTTCATTGATAACAACTGCAGGTAATAGCATCGTTTATTATTGTTAAAGTTTGTCAAACCACAAACGATTTCAAAAACATTTATATAAGGATGTAAGCCCATTTAAGACCTCTATGCTTAGTTTTCAGAATCATGCATACGACTAACAAGTATTATCTGAATTGCAGCTGAGTGTAATTCACTATAATTATGGAGTAAATGCATGGAGTAAGATAAATCAGTGCTTTTAAAATTCAGGTGTTCGTCAGTAAACTCAGGAGAGGAAATAACTTGACTTATTTTAGCTAAGGGATTCACCTGCCGTTGTCTGATTCATCTGCTATGATGTTGACATATTACTTGAGTGGAAGTTGATCAGAAGCAAGGCGTTAATTGTGCAAGAGGCCAGTATCCTACAAGTAGACATATGATACCACAGCATTCTTCCTAACATTTTTTTTCTCTTTCTAAAAGGTCTGTTTTAATAGAAGTATAAAAATAGACAAATTGGGCTTCAAATGTTACAAAGTTTTCATTACTTGGATGAGATTAGAATTCCCCCGAGAACCATCATCAATCTCCACGTTACTGTGTATCTAAAATGTTACAGAGTAGTGAAAATTTAGTAGCACGTCATAGTCATAGTAAACGCGACAAATGTTTTATAACACTTAAAATTTAGACCTAAGAATATTTATATAATGATGTAGCACTCTGATAATGCATTTTGGGAAATGATAGAAGAATTGTATATTTTAAGGACAAAAGTTGCAGATTGCTGAGTTGTTCATAAACTGTGCCACACTTTTAGGAACCAATTTAAATTTCACCATGTTTGAAATACGAAGCGATAGCTCTGAGGTCTTGTATTCATTTCCTAATAGCAGCAGTACTTTATTTAAGGCATGATTTTCAGTACATTAAATTACAGTTTTAGAAGCTGCATATTGTTCTAGGTATTTTTTATTTGAGTCTTCACTGTGTTCATTTTAGTGATGCTTTTCCTCTTTTAAACAGGTTGTAGGAGGAAAGATGACTGAATCAGGCCGGCTTTGTGCATTTATTACCAAAGTGAAAAAGGGAAGTTTGGCTGATACCGTGGGTCATCTCAGACCAGGTAGGTTTCTGCCGTCACTTACTTACATTTCAGACACTAAATGGGAATAGTTAAGGCAGATTTCATTTAGTTGTCGGTCTTCACTCACTAATAGAAAGTTGTAACTATAGTGTCTTAGGTCATATTAGAGACAATAATTTTTATATTTACTGATCCTATTTTTCTACCGATGGACGGTCTGATCTGCATCTAGTATTAACTTATTTTGTTTCCCATAAAACTTCTTTGTTTTGAAAAAAATTAAACATAGTTTAGAAAACAAACTTCATAGATATGCATATTTCCTAAAATGAGTCACTCCGTATCACATAGTCAATTGTTACTATTAGAGAAATCTCTGAAGAGGATTCAGTAAAGTGCTGTTTATTAAGCTTTTTTTTACAAAATAACGTTTAGACAATGAAAATTTGAAGAAAACTAGGTGCTCAGTTGCATATGTGTTGAGATCTTGATCGTTGTCTACAATTAAAATTTCTACTAAGAAATCAAATTAAAACAACGTTTTATGTAATTTTTTCCTTCTGACCATTGTCCTTTTGGATAAAATACTGCATATGCTATTCTGGTCATCAAATTTTGTACCCCCGGTTGTTCTCAGTGTGTTTCTTATTTCATAGTGATTTTTTCTCTCTGCTATTCATTGCTTGTTCTTATTTTGAGTGTTTTGAGGTTTGAGATTGTTCCTGCTGACCTTACAGGTGATGAAGTGTTAGAGTGGAATGGAAGGCTATTGCAAGGAGCCACGTTTGAGGAAGTGTACAACATCATTCTTGAATCCAAACCAGAACCGCAGGTGGAGCTCGTTGTTTCAAGACCTATTGGGTAGGTTGGGGTCAGGCTTGGTCTGTTTGTAAAGTTGACTACTTACTGGTAAGCAAATGTCAGATTGCTGTATGTACCAAATACATCTCACCAAGCCTCAGGACTTACAGAATATACAGTTAGTTACAAAAGAAGAAGTATATAAATGTTTTTTATTTTTACTGTCTTTACTAGCTTAGCAGATGGCTGTAGTCATTAGTAAGGGAAGGGGGAGATGATAGTAACAGTTGCTTTTAAGATGAGTGTCATATCATGAAGTATGATTTTCTACACTATAAAAGCTACCATCAGCTAAAGTGTACAAATATATATTTTTCAAATTATTTCAACCTAGGAAATAAAGAAGCAGAGGGCATCTAATTGCCAGATATAGGAAAGTTTTTAAGGAAAAACAATTTTTTAAAGAATGGCAATTAAAAAGACCTGAAATAGGCAAACCATATTCAAGTATTCCTTGGCTTTTTAATTTGTTGCCCATAGATCAATTTGATACCTGTAAAAGTTGGCAGTGTATATAATCCTTTCATATAAACTGTGAGAACAGTTCATTAAAGATCACAGTACTATTTCCTCTATAGAAGCGTATATTGTGTGCCAGTGTAAAAGATATACTTATTTCAAAACAAAAGCAGTGTAAACTGGTGGTGAATTATTTAATGAATGTGAAAGCTAGAACATTTGAGTGTGAAGTCTACAGAAATTCTTTGATTATATAATAATGCCTAGTTTTATTTCATTGAGGAAATGACTGGGTTGTATTCTTTTGATGTCTTTATGCTGGAGAAAATGATTTAGATTGGTAGATTAGTTTTACTGAAATATTCCTTTCAAAATAATGTATTTAGCACAATGAATTGTATCCATTTTTCATTTTGTCTTTTCACAGTTTCATAATATGGTAAAGTGGCAGTGCTAATCAAATCTACTTCTTGGTATTAAAGTATTCTCGAATCATATTTCTGTTTCGTATCTAAACAATTTAGAGTATTTTACAGTTTTGCAACTGACTGTAACTAGTACTGGCACTCTCCATCAAAAAAAGTGTTCTTGCTTTTGGTTTAAAACAAAGGAACTTGAAAGTTTCAATAAGAACCGTGTTTCCTTTTTTCTCCATGAAGTTATTTTAATTATAATGTGAATATCTAAATTTTTGTTTTGGTGATATTTTGAGTTTCAATATTATTGATTTAGAACAGAAAGTAAAAATAAAGAGTAGAACAGAATTAAAATATTATCTATAAAACATCATGTTGAATACCAAACTTTTTTAGTGAGGCACATAGAAAATAAAGTGTATGCTTTTAAAATCTACCACAAATACATATGAATTTTAGTTTCTTTTAAATAGTTGATGTTAGTCCAAAGTTTTATTAGTAAAATGTGCTCGTTTGTTATTTATATAATTCCACCATACACAGTTTTTTCATTTTATGCTGTTGAGTTACTGTATATGTTGATAATGATCAAAACAACAGCTGCATTGTGACACAGTTTCTTTTTTTCCTGTCATTCCAGAGACATACCTAGAATTCCTGACAGCACACATGCACAACTGGAGTCCAGTAAGTTTCATTTATTCTAGCAGAATATGTTATTAATGTCATTCATCAAAGATCCAATGAGGCATCTTATTTACTAATATGAAGAGATATAGTAAAGTCATTACTAAGTACACAGTAAAGATGGATAAGTACCATTTCATGTCACCATGAGAAAATATACAAAGTTTTATACTAATGAAAGATTTTTAGAAACCACACTATCTTTAATGTAGACTGTAGATTTTTAGATGGCTTTGTTAAGGTATCGTACAGTAGGCTACGCACAGTTACAGTAACAGGTGAGCTCTGATGTCATCACAACAGCAAATCACAGCACACTGCCTGCCACTCCCAAAGTTTTCCTTGAGTTTTAAAGTTTACTACTTTATCCTCACTTTAAGTAGAAGGAAATGATTGGAGCAATCTTTTGAATTATTATACTTGTTCATATTTGTATTTTTGGAAGCAGAATAATTATTCCCATTTAACATTAAAGCAGTAATGGAACAATAGATAGGTTTAACTGTCAAATGCACGGTACTTTGTGTTACTTATTTTTGTTATTTCCAACATTAAATGATTTTCTTTCCCAGTGAACTGTTTTTTGATTAAGAGTATGATAAGAGACGTTGAGAGAGAAGAGGAAGAGGTCTGCAACTTGAAGTCTGTTCTTTAGGATAGAGAAAGAGGTGGAGCTGTAGGGTGGGAGCTGTCCAGCTGCAGGACCGGTACAGGGGCTCCAGGCTGTGTCGCGAGCCCAGGACGGCTGTGTGGCTGGACGGAGTTGAGGATGGGGAGCGGCGGTGACCATCTCTGCACAGGCTGTGTGGGCCGTGGGCAGCGCTCTCGCTTTTCCTCTGAGGGGTGCCGGGAGCTGCAGAGGACAGCTCCAAGGAGGTGCTCACATTTGAAATCTGGCCGCTGTACCGAAAGTAGATGAAAGGGAATCGGGCAAAAGCAGAAAGACTGATGACAGGACCACTTTAATAATCTAGTGGCAAGACGGGGGTGACTTGGACCTTGGCGATAGCATTGAAGGTTTTGAGCAGGGTCCGGTCCTCTGTACACCTCAGTAAGTAAGATAGGATACTGAAAGTTGATGTGTTCTGGGCTGAGGATGTAGCCCAGCAGGAGACTGCTTGCTCTGTTTGCGTGAGCCACTGGGTTCAATCTCCAGCACTGCCCCTGCCAAATAGGTGTTGTCCTTTCGTATTTACATTTCAAGTGTAAATGTCCTGCAAGTCTCTACCAGATCAGCGAAATTCTTTTGGAATGCCCGGGCTCTGTACTTTAAAATATAGTCATGTGACCTTCTTGGCCTAGCACCTTTGGCTAGGTGCTAAATCATTGTGTCCACAACTATGCCCATGACCACATAGAGCCCTACCAAAGTAATTACTATTATCAGGCAGTGTTACTACTCTCACTACCCTCTTGTCTCCCTTTTTCTTTAGTATTTGTGTCTGTGCTTGATGCTGCACGTACGTTATCATAATTCTTATAACAATCTGTGGGCTGAAAATTTCACTCACTTGTGTTTCTGTGTCTCCCTGCCATTGTGGGCATGATAGAGCCCTTTATGATGTTTAGCTATTTAAATTCTAGCACTGTTCCTGAGGAGACAGGGTCCTTTGTCAGATTAGATCCCATGTTTATTCTTTAATCTCTGAATCTGTGTTCCCAGTTCCTCAGTACATTTTCTTCTGCTTCCACTTTTAACAGCCAGCTATATAATTCCTGAAGTTGTTTTCTAAAGGGTCAGTCATTGTTTTTGTTAAGTATATTCCTGCTACCTGCAGCTTTTCTTTTTCTTTTCAATACAGAATCTCGCTGTGTAGTTCAGGGTGGCCTCGTACTCACAGCAATCCTTCTGCCTCGGCCTCCTGGGTGCTGGGTTTACAGGCGTGTGCCACCACGCCTAGCTAACCTGCAGCTTTATATTAAGAGACTGCCTTATTTCTTACTACCGAAGGCATCGTTCTTTCTACTTCTAATTAATATGAAGGGTATCACCATCACTTTGGAACCGAGGTTTACAGTTTCCCCTACTTTTATACAGTACTGCTGGAGAGGTGAATTTTCTCACCTGTATCTCCAGTTGGGTGTACAGAACTGTCGGATAATTTCTCACACTAGTCAGCACTCTGACATTTCATTTCATCTGGATCTTCAGTTACCTGCTTTACTCTTCCCTTGAGTATCTCAGAAGTGTTATAAGGTCGCTGCTTCCAAAATAGATTCCCCACTCATTCCCTTAACACAGTGCTCCAAATCCCACGAGACATCAACACTGCCTTTTCCAGAGACAACAGAAACACGTAAGACTTTCTTGATACCACGTGTGATTACAGACTTGAAGCTTTAAAGTTTTCCATCGTCTTTCTTTTATTTTTCCTATCTAATTAGCGTCTGAGTGGTTTGTGTGTGTGGGCCGGGGGTCTACCTCAGGGCCTTGCGCACGCTAGGCCAGCGCTGTCCCCCGAGCTGTCCCCGCCCCGGGCCTCTGGTCTTCATTTTCTGATTTCGTGTTCCCTGCAGTCCCTTCTCTCATTCCTTTTCCACCACTTCTACCCTTACCGTTTCATTGAATTCTCCTCGCTGTTAACTGTCTTCCACGTTTCTTCTTCCAGTCCACTCTTTACACAGGTGATAGCCATCTTCCCCCAAACAGTGTTCTTTTCTTTCTCGTTAAAGCTTAGCATGGATACTTTATTAGCGCAGAATGCGTTGTCTAGAATTCTAACCACATAGTGCCACCTGTCCTATTAGCTCTATCCTACTTACGTTCTCACTTGTTTTTTCCTTTCACAGAAGTAATCTCATACTTTTTGGATACAAGTTCTGCTCCTTGTTTTATTCGATATCTTTTTTCATAGCTCCTTTTTCCTTTCTGTAAGTCTAATTTATATTCTTCAACATATGGTTTTTAAAAATCACTTCCTGGAAGCATTCAATAGTTTGGAGATTTTAGTGCTTATGTTCTTAGCGTTTAAAGTTGAGACTGTCTTTATGGAGCCTGATTCACATTTTGGTTATTCTTTTATTTCTATTTTAAAAATGTCCTTACTATGTTTTTGGAATGTGTGGGTGTGGGGTGCACTGAAAGGTGAAGGGACTCAGGTCTGAGGCAGAGGCCTGTCTCTGTTACAGTTGGCGCAGAGATGAGCCTGTGCGGGGGGCTGGTCCTCAGAGAGCCCCCAGACTTCCCCGGTGCCTTAGGAAACAGCAGTGGAACCTCTCCCTTTGGGTGTCTTTGTGCCTAACAAGCTGGTCTGTAGAATGGCATTTTACAGACATTTAGAAGATGTATGCTGGGGGCTCCTAGAGAGTTGTAAGAGCAGTTTATGTTGTTCTTTATGTATAATTATCATTTCAGGTTCCAGCTCATTCGAATCTCAGAAAATGGATCGTCCTTCTATTTCTGTTACTTCTCCCATGAGTCCTGGTATGCTGAGGGATGTTCCACAGTTCTTATCCGGACAACTCTCAGTATGTAACCACTAAACTAATTTCTCTTTTGGAATATTAAATCATGTTTCTAAAAATATGCTAGTTTTTTATAAAGCAAATTCTCCCTAGAATATAATTGTGCTTTTAACTCTTTTACTCTTACTACTTTTAATTAATGAAATTCAGTTTTGATTATTTATCATAGTGCTTTCTTTATTAGAGTTAGATTTTCTAGAATTTGATGAGATTCAAATTTTTGTGAGGATACCTAAATTAAACCCCATTTTGCCTAAATAATTTCTCCAGAATTTAAAGTTGTGGCTTTTGCTCTACACTTAAAATGATTATGAATTGTCATTGATTCTTAAGAGAATACTTATGTTGCAGTATACAAAAATTGTATGTAAAATAAAAGTAAATATGTCTATGTTATTCTCCGCTTTTCAACCTTAGGGAAAACTGAGATGAATTTCATAGTAATATTGAACTTTGACTATTGCTCTGAAATGTAAAGATTCTGGAGATGCTTTTGTCAATAGACAAAACCATGGGGTGATGTAGAGTAGGCTCACGAATATACTAGGTAATTTTGGGTTAGTGAGCCCTCATTTGAATATGTTAAAATAGCAGCTAAAAGTTTATTCATGTTATATTATGTCCACTTTAGAAAAGCTTTGCAGATGTAGGTCCTCATTTTAATCAATTTTCAGCTGTCATTTCCTTATTACAGCATTTTAATATATTACTGTATTTAAATGTATTCAGTTATTTTAATTGCCAGCAGTGGTGGTGATTATAAAACTTGAAATTTCTTGATTATTAAAGATCTATTTAGGTTCTCAGAATCCAGACATTGACTCGTTGTAGAAAAATGTTACTGTTAAAATAACCTATTGTGGGCTGCTATTTTAAGACCAATAGAAATACATTTCTGTTAAATCAGTTAAGAAATATCTGTTTTTATTTTTAGGAGGACAGATGTATGTTTTATTTTTCTGAACTATTTTCATTAATGAAAAGGAGATGTAGAAAGTTTAAGCAAAAATTAAGATATTGGAATTTATTAAAGAAGTTATTAGATGTCTTCTCTAAACTATTTTGAACACAAATTTGACAATAACAGAAACATTATGCAAGAAAGGTGATACAATGCTATGAGGTTGTGAATGCCTCACTAAAATAAATTTCTTTCCTTTATTATTTTGTTTTTCTTCCTTTTTCATAGAGTGAATTTCTTTTGAGAATATTGATATTTTCTCCATTGTCTCCATAAGTAGCATCTTTTTATTTATTCTCACATATATTGGCAGCACATATATCGTCATTTATAATTGAAAATTTATGTGTTTTATTTTACCATCTTAGGAAATACTAATAAATTTTAGCTACTTTTGACTAATTTTGTTTAGATAAGTTATCTTTAAATACTGTTTAGGGGTGTGGGGGTAGCTGGTGCTGGTACATACTCTGTGTGTGTGTAGTTGGCTTTTTGGAGGAATAAAATTAGATTTGCATAATAAGTACCACTTTATAATCTCAATTCCAGGGACCTGTACAAATTGGACAAGAAATGAAAATGAGGAGCAGAGGCAGGATTTTAGATTTCAAATTCTGTTTTTCCCCATGGCTTAAAATACTGTAGAAACATAAGACTGCTAAATATTTGAAGGCAAAATAAAATAAAATTTTTGCTTCTGAATATACATATAATGATGTAAAGCTATAGCCTTTAGATTTATAGATGAGGCTGGTTTAAAATCCATGAAAAATAATTTACTGTGTGTACCATTTTCTCCTTTTCATATGGCTTGGAAGGCGCATATGTTCTGGTTGGGTATTACTGAACTTTTAATGGCATATGTTTTGAAATTATTTATGAAAACACATCTCATCTACCTAAATAAAACATAATGTTTATACAGGTAGTACACAATTATTGTAGGAAGTCTAGAAAGTATGGGGAAAAAAGTAAAAATCATCTATAATAAAATCTAACTATTCACATACACATTAAATTTGTAAAAGACTGAAATAAATTTGTAGATACTATTTTGCTAGGGCAAAGTTTGTCAGGGTAACTTTCTGGAAATAAAATGACAATATGGATGGTAAAGTAAAAAAATGATTGTTAATATCTAACCCCCAATTCCTCTACAATTTTTTTTTACCAAATTAATTGTTTTTGTTGTCGTTGTTTTTGAGACAGCATCTCACTATGTAGTTGAGACTGACCTGGAATTCACTATGTAGCCCAGGTTGGTCTCAAACACACAGCGATCCTCCTGCCTCAGCCTACTGAGTGCTGGGATTACAGGTGTGCGCCACCATGCCTGGCTTCCAAATTAAATTTCAGTCATACATTAAGAAATACGTGCTGTTATTGCCCTGGAGTACTACTAGTACTAGTAAGTAGGAATTTAAATGAGTAAGATGGAATAATTTGTACTCTCATGTGACTGATTAATTTTATTCTCATTCTTTACATTTAGGAAAGCTTATGTCCTGGTTGTATTTCTTTTTTACGTAGAACTCTGTCTCTACTGCCCTGGAGACAGTTTTGTTTGCTACAGTGATGTAGGAGTTGAAAAAAATATGTCCAAGCATAGCTCCCCTTGGCAAACCTCTTAGAAGCCACAAGGCAATAGTACTTTCCCATTTTTTTCCATTTTATCTTTGGACATTTTTGCTTTGGTGGGATTTTATTCACTTGAGAAATCACGACATGGCTAATGCCTGAAAACAAAGACAATTTGTGTAGTCTGTGAACTGACCTTTATAAAATACTCTTGTCAGTTCATGGAATGATATTTTTTCAAGTAAAAAATACACATAGAATACAAATTTGTTTACATTTTTATGCTCAAGCTGTTGACTTTTAAAAAATGTATTCAGTTTACTTTCTGTCTTGTGCTTGAAATTACGTGGTTGCTTATTCTGGGGCATAACCATGAAAATGCACTGATGTATTTGGCGAGAGCATCAGTCTGAGCTCAGGGTATGGAGCCTGGGCTGTGCGCTGGCCTTCTCAAGGACGGCACTACCTTATTCCAGAGCGGTTAGCAGTTTCTATATTAGAAGATTAGCTTGGAATTTTTATTATTTTTAAATTAATTTACATGATTTGGCTAGTATTTTGATCGGTTGTTGCAATAAAATACGAGTTTTGACTTGTTTTGAAGTGAGGAAAGGTGAAGAATCTGTTTTTCTATAGGAACTCATTGCACAACTAACTGATTTTATTGACAGTTATTTTTACTTTGTACTGTACGGTCTGTGATTGACTTATGGTTGCAAAGCTTCTCCGATTTACCTTACTTGAATGTTGTTTCTGAAAATTTTGAGTAAACATTCATTTTATATTCCTATTTAAATGGAATGTTTTATTTAGTGTGTGTATCTTATTTGGTGTGTGTCTTTTATAGCTCCTTAACATCTCTAGAGCTTTTAAAATAATTGCAACAAAAGTTTTTTTCTTTGAACTTTACACTTTTATACTTCATTGTCATAACAAATCTAGAAATGTTGCATGGAAGATGTGGCCTAAAGACAGGAGTACAGAGAATAGTAGAAGTGACAGGTGCAAGATAGATGGGATTACAAATTCAAATTCTTCATTTGTGCGAATTGTTTCAAATATTATCAGATAGGGCCGGGGATTTAGCTCAGTGGTTTGGTGGCCTGCCTTGCAAGCGCAAAGACCCGAGTTCAATCCCTGGTACCAAAAAACAAAAACAAAAACAAAAACAAAAAAAACAAGAAACAAAACAAATATTATCAGATAATCTATGCTCAGAATAAATGACTTGGTAATTGATTACCAATTACAGTGTGGCCCATACTAAGCATTTCACCAGTTTTGTATGAAGAATGTAGAGTGTAGAGTTAGAAAGCAGCTTAGTGGTTGCCAAGGGACAGCGAGACAGCAGAGGGAGGAATGATTACTTAAAGTGCAGGTGTCCTTTCTGGGTGAGGACGAGGTTTTGAAATAGAGAAAGATAATGATTCTACAGCACTGCAAATGCAATAATTGCCCCTGTATTTATCATACTTTAAAATGCTTAATTGTATGTTTTGTCAATTTTACTTCAACTGAAAAAATATCAGAAAATGTGCTTTGCTAGTCATATTTAGAATATGAACGCATGGGTTAGATTTTAAGAAGGTTGATCTTAGAGGTTGGGGATGTAGCTCAGTGGTAGCTTGGGCAAAGCCTTAGGTTCAGTCCCCAGCACAGCACCCTTTCCCTTCCCCAAAAGGGCTGATTCCCCGAATTTGTGAGTTACTTGTTTCAGGTTCTTATCAAAATGGAAAAATGTTTTCTTGAAATTGAAAACACTATTTTTAAAAATAAATCTTTTATTTAATGAAATAATATTTATAAAATATCTCATTACTTTGATATATTTGGTCTAAAACAAAACAGGTGGGAGGGCAGGAAAAATAGAATTTATTTCTAGAGTGTCTTATTCATCACCTTCCTCAGCATGTCCAGTCTCTGAATTCCACACACCCTTTCTCCATTTGCAAAGGAATTACCTACCCAGGGTCACTTGGACATCAGTAACGCTCCACGTCTGAGCCTTTCTTGCACTGAGCATCTCCAGACAAGAAGGAAGATCTCTCAGATGTGAAACTTCCTTGTTTCTTGGAGAGAAAGATGACTCATAATTGTATAACAGTCTGTCTTGAACTATGCTTTCTTTTTGTTTTAGATTTATATCTAAAATAGTGTCTGTCCAGTGACAGTTAAATTTGACAGCAGTCTTTCTAGTGCTCATTATCTTGTTCCTTACAGCAGAGGAAAGACAGACTGAAGACAACTGTTTTTGGCTTTTTAGAGACAGGAGACACATGGGAGGAAACTTGATGGGGGAGAGGAAGTCTACTCCGAAATCCATTCTCAAACCAGAGCTTTGTATCTAATTTTGTTCCTGATTTGGTTGCTGGCATCCCTTAATTCTTATTGTGATTTTTTTGGAAAGAAAGTAAAAACAAAATAAGAGCAAAACAAGTTAGAAAAGAAATTTGATTTTAGTCAGAGAATTTGAAAATACTGTAGAGTGGTATAATCAGAATAGGGCTCTGCCTCCTGTTTTTTCATCATCTTGCCTTTTGAATGCTAGGAAGTGTTTCGAGACCATTTATGTCTTTGTTTCCTTATCTGCGACTTGGAGAAAATGGACCCTTCCCATAGTTGTTGGGACCATCGCAAAGCTAAAATGTTGCAGTAAGCTGTCAAAGGCTTGAGGAAATACAACGCACTGTTCAGAGTAACACTATAAGAAAGTAACGAGTCGTTGTCTTTGAGGGGCTTGGTAAACAGCATCATCTGAAGTGGTAAAAAAACCTGTCTGGAAGTAGTGTTCACTGAATGCAGGACGTCCCAGCACACTTTTATCTTAATGTGTTTATTTGTTGAAGACATTCTAAAGCTGACAGAGCTAACGGTTATTTTATTGGATGGATTTTCACTAATAATTGTATCCTACCTTCTCATCTAGCCTTTTTTGTACTATTCTTTTTTATGCACAGTTGGCCCTCTCATATCCGTGGGTTTGATACCCGTGGGTTCAGTCAAGCTTGGATCAAGGGTGTTTGGAAGACAGTTGTCTGTAGTAGACATAGATGTTCTTGACCTTGTCATTCATCATCCCTAAACTGCACAGCGTAACAACGGCTTACACAGCGTTTACCGTGTTAGCTGTTGTGAGTCATCTAGACATTTAAAGCGTAAGGGATGATGTGTGTTCGTTGTATGTCAGTTTGACCCCGTTTTAGATAAAAGACTTGAACATGCATGGATTTTGGTTTTCGTAGGGGTCCTGGAACCAGGGTAAAATCTGAAATTTCTTAGTCTTTTGGAATATACAAACTGAATTTATTATTTTATATTAATTTTTAATTACTGTTCTGTTGACTACATTAAAATCTGATAAAACAGAATTTAATATTTTGTATAGTTTTAATGTATTTTAGCATTTGGCAATATTAATTTATTCCTTATAATGAGTTATTTAATTTAAATAAGTATTGTCATAGAAATACTGTATTTAAGGGTAGTTCTATGTGTTTATTTTTACTTTTAGTCTTTTAGTTCCAGCGTGTTGTCCTTTTTGGTTTTGTTTTATTGCTTTTTTCTTTAATTTTGCTTACCAGAGCCAAAGCCTTAGTAGAAGAACATCGCCTTTTGTTCCTAGGGTTCAGGTAAAGGCCTTGTCTACCTGATAGAAACTAAAGTTGTGTTTTATCCCTTATCTGTATGTTTTTGGAAAATGCGTAGTAGGTAAACTTTTTGGTATGTTGCTCCAAACTATGTTATTGGCTTTCAAATCATTTGATGAGCCAGCTTGTAAAATTCTGCATGGGGATTAGAATACTGAATAAAAATTTAAAGAGACAATCTTTGTTAGTGATTATATATGACGAAGTCCTAAAATGTATAGGTTTCAAAATGGCATTTAATATAGATTTATCATAGAGTCAACTTATATAAGTATTGTGTATAGAAATAGCTAATTATACTGCTGATATTTTTCTTTATTACACTAATCTTGCTGTCTCTTTAAATCATTCATATACCACTTAACCTGTACATTTTCTTGCATTTTCCAAGCACTAATTCCTTGAGGAGATTGGCAAATATATTTGTACCTTATTTAAAATAAAGAATTTCAAGCTTGTGGCATATAAGGGTCAACTTTTGAAAGTATATTATTTTGTAAGAACAAAATCACAATCCAAATGTAATGCTGGGTTTTGTTTACATTCCTTTAATTTTCTTCTGCTCCTGGGGTACAAGTTGTTTGCCTCTTTTCATTAGCGAACCTTTACATGGTAGTGTACTGTCAATATAGTGTTTCTAAAAGTAGTATTATGCCTTCCTTGCTTTGCTGCATGTTTTTAAAGATTTGCTGGTTTTGAATAATACTTATTCTGTTTAAATTGTAGAAGTCAATATTCTAGTTAACATTATACAATATCAAATATTTATATACATTGTTCAGGTCTACTATGAAAATTCAAAATGAATACATAGTAAAGTTGAGATGATAGTCATTAAACAATTAGAGTGATTCCAAGTTTTTATTAAAGGGATTAATTTGACACAAAGTTTGTCAGGACTGTAGCTGCAGTATTGTTTGTAATATTGTGGAGGATTGACAGCTATATTTTAACCATTCATTTTAAAGCGCATATAAGGAATTTAAGAGGATGATAAAATACCCTAGCTAATAAAATATGATATAAACTGAATATACATTAAAAACTTTAATGCAAGCTATGTTTGTTATATAAACAAATTAGGGCTATTAAATACCTACCTTAAGGTAGTTTACAAAAAAGTATAATTTTAATCAAAGGATAAAATTTAAATATACTTGTTTCCTATCTAAATTATTTTATCCTTCATATACCTGGAAAGTATAATTTAATTAACTCTAGAGTACTGTCACAAAACCATGAAAGCTATATACCTAATGTTTGCTTGTTTCAAAAAATGAATATTAGTAAGTGATATTTTTTGGTTTTCTATGGCATAAGAAAAGAATACTCTTTTTCTGACTTTTGAAATATAGATCTCAAAGGAACAACTAAGTTTCAACTTTTCAGAAATTTCTCATGGAAATCAATAGGCTTAAATAATACTGATCTTAGTCTCATAACAAGTATTACAATAATAGTGATTTCTTTGTTTTTAAATGGTAAAGATTTTGGAAAAAAATTGTTAACCTTTCAGAATATATTTTAGGTGAATAGTATTTATTGAGAAAGATTCTTTAATTTCTGGAAAAAATAAAGCTATAAGCTTTTTTGTTATTGATGAAAGTAAAGAATATCGTAGATAAATTGGATTTCATCCATTTAGAGGAACGGTGACGCAATTTTCAGTGTCTTTCATTTCATGTACAATGAGACACCCCACATTTCTTTGTTTTCTTCATGTGGCTTTTGCCAGAAGCCTATTTTATGCATCCCTTTTCACACCTTTATCCTCATCTGTGTCTCTATTCTAATAGGCAAACAAGTATGGGAACATTTTTCTCTGAAATATTGGATCCTTTTTTCTTCCCTTGATCTAAGGCAGCGTTGCTCCAATTTTCATGGACATGAAGATATCCTGGAGGACTTGTTACCATTCTTATTTCAATCCACGCATGGTAGCATACACCCATAATCTCAACATTCTGGGAGGCTGAAGCAGGAAAACCCCAAATTCAAACCCAGCCTGGGCAACTTTGTGACACCTTGTCTGAAAAAAAAAAAAAAAAAAGAATTAAACTAGGATTGAGGATGCAGCTCAGAGCGAAGGCCCTAGGTTTAATCCCCACTACCAAATAAATAAATCAATACATAAATTCCAGTGCCATTCTGATTGCGTAGGTGAGAGAACACTTCAGCTATATTGCTGCAGGATATGTGTTTATCTCAGTTCGAGAAACTTGTTTAGGGTTTGTTTTTGAACGTAGCAGCTCTATGAGAAAATCTTTTTGTTATGTAATAGCAACATAATAACTACACCAAACATAAAGACCACAAAGCACAAAGACTAGTAATTATAATCTTTATGATTGGAATACTTCTTAGTCTTGTTCTAGTTAGAGGGCTAATTCCTTTTGGTAAAGAAGTAAATGAATGACATTTCCTTTTGGATTGTGAGCCCTCTCTCTGCCTCTAGAGTCGCTCAGCTCTCAGTATATCCCGTATGTGGGTGAGGCTCTCAGCAAAGCCGTGGTGCCGTTGGAACTGAACGGACAGTGTTTCAGATAACATCCAGAAAGCTGTTTTTACCTGTAATTCTCAAGTTCCAAATTTCCGGCTCCATTTAAATTTCAAGGTCGTGGTCAGACGTGTGCTGAGTTCTGAACCGAGATGCGTACCAGAGCCATGGCTGTCACAGGCCTCTGCATCAGCGGCCCACCGGCTGGGTCCGTAGGTGTAGGCGGCGGAAGGGTGTCCGTGGGAGAGTAGCTGTCAGGTGGAATGGATTCAGCAGCTAGACCTGAAGCTCCAGCTTTAACTAGGGCACAGCTCTCCCATCTCTCGCTATAAAATGAAATCTTATTATGGTAAGGTTGGATGCATTTGCTTCACAACAGACATGTCTGAGTAAGAAAAAATTTAAAAGATGAGTTGACTAAAAATATGAACATGAACTGAAGAAATTACTGATAATACTACAGGAAAACATCTTATAATCTTTGAAATGTCTTTTGATATGAGGTGTCATAAAACATTTGTTGAAAATTCTCTATCAGTAACACATAAATAAATTACTACCTTACTACCTACCCATTTCTTTTTTATCACTTATTCTGAGCTCATTATAGGGGAAACAAAATGAACTGAAGTGATTCAGGGTTAAGGAAGATATAGAGCAATAATTGTGCTTAAAGACTTTAATAATGCTAGTGTTATTATTACGTGCATGTTAATAATCACATTAGAATAATAAAAAGCTTAAGTGATTTATCAGTGAAACCATATCTGAGTCGATTTTTGTATTCATTGATATTATTAGCATATTTTTACATGTATTGGTAGTAAATGTTTCAGCTGAGAAGTTATTATTTTTGCTTTTCAGATAAAACTGTGGTTTGACAAGGTTGGTCACCAATTAATAGTTACAATTTTGGGAGCAAAGGACCTTCCTTCCAGGGAAGATGGGAGACCCAGGAATCCTTACGTTAAAATTTACTTTCTTCCAGATAGAAGGTATGGATGTAAAACAGAAATAAATGTTCTTTAAAATAAGTGGGAGGGCCGGAGATTTGGCTCAGTGGTTCCACCACCTGCTTTCAAGGGCCCGAGTTTGATCCCTAAAAAAAAAAAAATTAAATAAATAAATAAATAAATAAATAAAATAAGTGGGTAATAGCGATGGGTGTTTCAATTCTTATAATTCATTTTCTGTATTGCACTAGTCAGATACTCGTGAAATTTAACATAAACATAATCTCATTTTTAAGAATCAAAATAGTGACAGTCAATATTTGGGATTTTTCAAATGTATGAAATGTTATGTATTATGTTATTTAATATTTTAAGCATGTGTGTATGACTTCTTAATATGTCTTATCGATAAATCATTAACACACCTTTATATAAAATTTTAATACAAAATATAATGTCAAAAAATTGGTAAGGGTGCTAAAAAGTATTTATATTGCTCTTCAGTTTCTATCTTCTCTTCCCAAAATACTGTTTTACTCTATTCTACAAATTACAAAGTGCATTTTGTATTTCATCACCCCTAGGAAACTTACACATTGGTCTTCAGATTGCCTTCTTCAAGCTTTTACTGTGTTGGGTATATGATAAGTAGGCCCATGAAACTGTAGTTATGTACATTGAGTTTTAAGGAAGTGCAGAAATTGTCTAGTCTTCTTTCTGTGCAATATTGAAATCCCTCTTAAAATAAGTCATTCTTTATCAGAGAACATTTTTTAGTTCTTAGAGAAAGTTGATGGCTTATTCTTCTATTCTTCAGATTTTGTTACAAATCATTCTTAAATTAGTAGGGTATCTGTTGAATATGTCTTGGCCTTGTTGGAAGGAGCTGTGTCTCTTAACAGGGTCTCAGAATTTATTCTTTCATGGATGAAATATAAATAAATGCTGAATAAATAGACAATTTTTAGAAAGGGACAGGGAGAGTAAGCAATCGCAAGTCATTGTCCTTGTGACGAAGTTAGGTGCCCTTTATCCAAAATGTGGGAGATGGAAGTGTTCTGACTCTCAGATTTTTTTCAAACTTTGGAATATTTACGTCATGTACTCATTTTGAGGGTGGGGCACAAATTTAAATACAAAATTTATGTATGTTTTGTATCGAACACATGCACTTTTATCTCCTGAAGATAATTCTTTGCAGTAGTTTTAATAATTTGGTATGGATTTGTCCACTCTGGCATCATGTGAGAACTCAGAAAATTGCAGACTCTGGACCATTTGGATTTCAGGAGTTTGGATTAACAGTGCTCCACCTTGGCTTTGCTCCTATCATTTAGTTTGTTATTATACATAGCATCACTCCTTTTCCATGTACACAGAGAGAAAAATCTATCTAGGTTTGCAATGTCATTTTCCTACAAATGACCTCAAAATTAGAAGTGGCACCTGGTGTGGCATCTTTTTTTCCCCAATTGTCTTCATTATCAGTATATCTAAAGGCCGCTTTCTGCCACATTAAATAAGTGCTCAGGAAACATGCAATATCTCTTGATTCCTCAAGTCAAATCTATACCAGGCACTGCATGTTTTAAAAGACGTGTCTTTATTTCAAAGTCTGCTTCGCCCTTCTTTGTGCCCCTCTTTCTGTTTCCCTGCTGTGTTCGCTTTCCGTGGCTGTGACAGAATGCCTGAGACAAAACCTTCATAGGAGAGGGCTCATTTTGTCTCACAGTTTCAGAGGTTTTGGTCCCTTGACAGAGATACGTGATCCAAATAAGTGTGAAAGACTCTGACCTGGAAGGTCTGCCCATCTCCACATGTTGCATTTCCAGCCCACCTTGGAGTGGCATCCTTAGAAGAAACAGTGTTCAGTGTTCTTAGAGGACATGCTGTATCCCAAAGAACCACAGCCCTTCTTATGGGTAAAAAGGTGTATAAGATGTAAATTACAATTGCTTATTACCTAAAGTATAAAGATAGAAGTTACTATCACTGCAATTTACTCATCTTTTTTTTGCAATAAGTCTTTAGTAGTTCAAATAAATAATATGTGAATGGTACAGGTTAATATTATTTGGAAGATTTCCATAAGGGTAATATGTAAAAAATTTTATAGTTGAGATCCATCTTGTAAGTTTTCAATTATCTGTCATTGGAAAAGTTTAAGATTTATTGAACTATGCTAGTCTTGGATCATACTTTTAATGCATTACATAATTATATATCTTGTAAATTTTAATTTGTTATTTACAATAACTTAAAATACAGGATTTGCAATGTATGATAAATATGTGATAATTTTACTTCTGACAAATTTTAAATTAATATATTTTAAGATGAAATTCAATTTTATATAATTTCCTATGTTCTTTCTTTTCCTTAGTGATAAAAACAAGAGGAGAACAAAAACAGTAAAGAAAACATTGGAACCAAAATGGAATCAAACATTCATTTATTCTCCAGTCCACCGAAGGGAATTTCGGGAACGAATGCTGGAAATTACTCTTTGGGATCAAGCTAGAGTTCGAGAGGAAGAAAGTGAATTTTTAGGAGAGGTACTCAGAATTATTTTACAAAATGTTCATGTCATTCTAAATACTTTTGTTTGAATGACTATCAGTAAAATTTTATATCTCAAATATCTGTTAAAGTATAGTTTCGGTACCGGGGATTGAACTCAAGACCTTATGCTTGCGAGACAGGAGCAGCACCACTGAGCTACATCCCCAGCCCTGTTAAAGTATTTTCTTTATTTTTTTTAGACAGGGTCTCACTATGTAGTTGAGACTGACCTGGAACTCATTATGTAGCCCAGGCTGGTCTCGAACTCACAGTGATCCTCCTGCCTCAGCCTCCCGAGTGCTGGGATTACAGGGGTGCAACACCACACCTGGCTAAAGTATAGTTTCTTAATTTAACATAATGAATTGAGCTAGTGCTTTAAGATAAAATGTATCAAAACTATAGAAAACAAAGGTTCTAACTAGCTGTAGCAAAGGTAGGCGTGGTGGTACAAGCCTGGAGTCCTGGGTCTGGGGACTACAGCCAGGAGCTACACTGGAATCCAGAGCTCAAGGCCAGTTGCAGCAACACCATGAGATCCCAGTTTAAACATGCACGCGCGCGCACGCACACACACACACACACACACACACACACGCACACACACTCTGTGACAGTTCTTACAGGTGTATTCTTACTGTAGACATCTCAGTATTGAATCATAGAAGGTTGTTTTCTGTTTCACAAGTGGATTGCTTCATTTCATAGTGTTGTTTATTAAACCACTTGTACCGCTAGTGAGTAGTCTGGTTGTTTATTCATGGGTTATTTTTTAGCTCTGTAATGTATCAAGCATTGTGCTAGGAGGCTTCAGAGGCGAATATGGCACGTTGCTGACTGCAGGGAATTTCAGCCCTCTCCTCTGAGGATTCACAGGTGAATGGCACACCAACCACTGTGGCGGGGGGACTGCAACCATGCACAGCGGCTGTGCGGTGAGGAAGGTGGATGAAGGAAATCCCTCAAACTAGTGGCATTCAGGGAGGTCAAGGGAAGTAAAATTCCTGTAGAGAGAATAAACAGACATCAAGTCTGGGCGGCTGCAGTGAAATTGAAAGGGAAAGGGGTGAGAATGATACTTGCGAGTTCAACTGCTGTCAAATCATATCCCTTAGTATCCAGAAACATGGATTCATCCTGTGGATACCGTGAACCAAGGACAGCTGTTAAAGAGTGACTGCTCCTCTGCATGTGTACTTGAGAAAAGTATTTCACACTGTAATGTAGAAAGTGATTCAGAGGGGAAGAAGTGAAGCAGTTCTCCAGATTCGTGTGCTAAGTTGTCCACTTTCAGCCTCTTCACTGTGGTGGGATTCTCTATAAATCAGTGGTGGTCTCAGGGGAGAGCACCCTCGTGTGTAGAAATATTGCCCTGAATGCTGTCTAAGGGTCCAGAGTCATAAACCTATAAGCTGTTTGGAAAGAAGGGACGCTCTGGTTCCAGCTGCCTCGGTCTACTTGCCCAGGGGTACCACTGTGAGCTTTGTGTCTTTGGTTGAGTTATTTAACTTACTTGTGCTTCAGTTCCCTCTTCGTCTTAGTGGGAATAACCCTAATATACAACTCAGAGTTACTATGAGGATTAAGTAAATGTGTGTGTGTGTGTGTGTGTATACGTGCTTGTGTCTGTGTAAACACTCACAGCAAAAATACCACTTGGAACATAAAGCCTACAATTTTGAAAATGACGAGGGAAAATTTAGGAACAGAGAAATAATAGCCATTTGCCTCTTTACCTTCATAGCTAAATAATACAATGATGTATTTTATCTTTACACAGCGGGTTTCATTACCACAAGTCCAGATGCTGTCAAGCTTGTACAATGCTCCAAAAGAAAACAGTCTATTACCTCTACAGTGATATCTTTTATAACTTTGAAATAGTATTATAAAATACATATTATAATGTAGTTCATATTAAAAGCTTGGTATTGCTTTTTTCCTTTTTTTAAATTGACATGATAATTGTATGTTTTTATAGGATAGCATGATGTTTTGGGTTTGAACTCAGCGGCATGGTACAGTGAACTTAAAGTTTTATTTATTTTTATTTTTTATTTTTTTTGTATCAGGCATCAAACTTGGGACCTTGTGCTTGCAAGGCAGGTGGCGGAACCACTGAGCTAAATCCCCGGCCCAAACATAGAGTTTTAAATAAAACAGATTAATTCACTTCACCTTTTTCACTTAAAGTTGGTGTGACCTTAGACAAGCTTTTAACCTTTTTAATCCTGTTGTCCTTAGCGTCAAGCCCATACTGGTAGATTCTTTTGGAATTTAGATAAATAGTCCAATGGTATGATTCTTAAACTTTATAGGTACTTCAAATATGATTTTCTTTCATTTAAGAGTTCCTGAAAAGGTTAACATAGTAAAATTACTTTTAAAATTAGAAAATGATATATAGATTGTAGTTATTATTACAGACATTTAAAAAATAAGTGTTAATTCTGTCATAGTAAATATAATAGCATCTAGTTATTGGGTGGTGAAGGGTCTACCAAGTGAATGTAGTAGAAATTTGAAACTAGTAAATCTCTAACAAGTTATAAAACTTTATCTTTCAGTCAGATATGCTGATAATTTTACACCGTGTAAATGACTTTCTTTTTCATCTAACAGCATTACTGTTACTATTAGAGAAGTTGTTAGAACACTTAGGAGAGCTCTTTATTATTGTTAGACCTTCACAGTCCTTTGTCTCTTGGCTCTGTAGATTTTAATTGAACTAGAAACAGCGTTACTGGATGATGAGCCACACTGGTACAAACTCCAGACCCACGATGTCTCCTCGTTGCCTCTTCCCCACCCATCTCCGTACCTGCCCCGAAGACAGCTCCATGAGGACAGCCCAACGCGGAGACTGCAGAGTACGTTTTCCACAACATTGATTCCATTTCTGTTGGATATTTCTGATCTCAGGTGTACATGTGACAGAATTTGAAGAGCATCATGAGCATTAACGAGCAGCTGTTAGTGTTTTCATGGCTATTGCTGGCGTTCTTCCATCATTTGCTACACTCATATAAAGTCACGCCGCAGCATTAACTCATCAGTGTCAAGTGCTTCTCATGCCACTGGGCACGTATGACCTCAAGCCAGCAGTTATGTTTAGATCTTAGGACTTAGCACCTTAAGTGTAGGGACGATGTGTCTAGCAGTAGAGTTCGATCACGTTGCTGCAGATACCCAATATTGTGATTTCTACTTTCTTTGTTCCCAGTGTTTTATAACATCTAAGATGGCGAGTATAACATAAGGGTTAAAACTACGCAGTTTAATTTCAGTCTAAGCAGTGTTGAAATCTCGAGTCAGTTGAGACCTCCCTGATTTGAGGTAAATGATCTCTCTGTGCCTCAGTGTCTTCTATAACGTGTAAATAATAATGCCTGCCTCATCGGATATAAGAAATCATTTAATCTCTGGAAGAGAGCCTGTTCTTGTTGTTGTTGTTCTTATTACTATGATTATTTAGATACTTAGATTTTACCCTGGATTATACATAGTCTGAACTATAACAACAAAAGTAGGTTAGTCCAGAGAAGCTTAACAAATTTGAAAGTGTTTTCCACGTTGAAAAGTGATAGTGTTGGTTATTTGCCCCCAAATTAGGGTTGGTTTTACTAAATTTTATCTTACCATTGTTTCATGAATCTGTCACTGAGAGATAAAGTACCTGCTTGTTTCCTTTTCACGGCATGAGCTTGCTTCTGGTTTAGCAGCATTTTTATCAAGTACTGCGAGACTGACATTAACCAGATTTCCCAGGTGTCTACTTACAAGCATAAATGTTATGTCATTTACTAATTATAGAGAGTGTACGTGGCAGCACAACAGATAACTATTGTGTATATGGGTCACACCATTCCTGTTGAATAAAGCACTAAATATAGCCTAAGATGGGTGGATGAGTAGAGAATTCAGCGAATAAGATTGGCCCATGGCCAGTCACAGGAAACTTTAGAGAATTGTCTTCGCTCATTTAAAAATTATCTCTTTAATGATTGGCATTTTATTTGCACTAAATATAATCTCACACCTGGATGATATTTATTCAACACTAATTCTGTAACTATCATTTTTTCAGTCTTCCAAGACTATAAACATCCACTCACCCCTTATTTGTAAATGCCATTACAGCATCTTTCGTTGAGTAATTACAACATTATGATGAATTTTGTGAAACTAATCTTACTCTTTCTGGCCGCTGTTATCTACTCAGTACATTCCCTCAAAACCATAATATGGAGGTAATGGGAGATTACTAAAATAAATCGTCATGTACTAATTCTTACAGTTTAAGTTTGTAGGCAGCTAGTGCTAGCCAGCACTCTCCTTTCTTGTAGGATTGGCCTTTACCTACTGCTGTCATTACTATAATCCTGAGTAGGTTTGAGAGCAGTTAATACCTGAAACTTTTAAATGTACCAAAAGTTCCCAACCCCTCACCCTTAGCTGATTGAGAATAGTGGGTGTGAGGAGCCACGAGCCCACAGCACTTTCTTTCAGCTGTGTGCCATGGATTTTTTATTCAATTAATGTAATAAACCTTGTAGCTTTTTAATATTTTCCCATTCTTAAAATTGCTCTACTATTAGTAACTGCTTTAAATTTGTCCATAGGCAGCGTAATCTCTCCATACTGTACCATGTAGTCTTGTCCTACAGACCAATCTCTGATAAATAATTTATCTGCAATTAATAATGGGTACATACACCTAAAAGAAATAAAGACTGTATTTCTAATGGGAAGGATGAGGTGGGAGGATCTCTTGAACCCAGCTGGGGCAACATAAAGCAGCCTTTAAATTTAGGGCTCTAATTTTCTTGAGTTCTTCACACATTCTAGATAGCAGTTCTCTGTCTGAGGAGCAGCTGGCAAGCTTTTTCCCATTCTGTAGGTTATCTCTTCACTCTGTTGATTGATTCTTTCGCTGTTTAGAAGCTTTTTAGTGTGATATAATCCCATATTTGTAGTCTAGCTGTTATTTCTTGTAGAATTGAGGTTCTGCATAGAAAATTCTTTCCTACGCCTAGGTCTTCAGATGTTTTAACTATTTTATCTTCCAGTAGGTTTAATATTTCTGTTTTAATGTTTAGATCTTTGATCCATTTTTATTTTCATTTAGTGTATGGTGAAAGGTAAGGGTCAAGTTTTAATCTTCTGCACACAGATACCCAGTTTTCCCAGTACTACTTGTAGAATAGGCTGTCTTTCCTTCAGTATGTGCTTTTGGCTCCTTTGTTGAAGATCAAAAGCTGAGTGTGTCTGGGAAGTGAGAAATTACACTTTTAACAGCAAAGTAACATTTCCCATAACATTATAGTTTAATTTTAAGCTACTTGCAGGTGTTTCCTATGAAAAGATGATAGGAGCAGCGCATATTTCTTTTAAATTAATTAATTTATTTGGCAGTGCTGGGAGCCAAACCCAGGGCCTCGTGCATGCTAGGCAAATGCTCTACCACTGAGCTATATTCTCAGCCCAGAAGCAGTGCATATTTCAAACAGTGATTTATTAAGCATTTTTGAAAACTTATAAACAAGACTAAAACTACTAAACCTGAATTTAAAATGCATCAAAAGCTAAGTAAGATTGCCTTTTTTTGTGGTTCTGGGGATTGAACCCAACCTTTAAGAAATCTTTTTATAAATTTTGAGACAGGGTCTCACAAAGTTGCCTACGATGAATTTGAACCTTTGATCTTCCTGTCTTAGCCTTCCAGAGGTCTGGGTTGCAGGTGTGTACCACCATTCCTGGCAAGTGAGGTTGCTTTCTGAAATGGCAATATATCTCAAATGTTTATACAAACATTAATGTATTTGCAGTAGTTATTTTAGTTCTTATCTTTTGTTTACATTTACATTTCTGCTTTCGTTCTTGATTATGGATTGCATTTTGTTTTTTATATATCTACTAATGTTTAGTTCTGTTTTTGATGCATTTTAGAGTCTGCATAATGAAGAATATTGCATTTTATTTCAGTAGAAAAGTTACTGAAGATTCACCTAAGACTAATGGAAGACATGTTAGGGTGGTTAGATCATGATTTCTGTCTGTAACCCCTAGTAAGTGGTCCTCAGTCCAGTTTCTGGTTCCTACATATTCCTAAGGTGTGCTAGTTCTAGGGAAAGTCCAAGATGTTTTCTAAGCTCCTATTTTATAATGAGAATTAAATTTGGAACTCTGTCTTCTCAACACCGGCTGCTGAAATGTCCTTGCACCATTTTTATCTTTTTAGCTGTGACTTTCTGCTGTGTTGCTCTTACTTTTAGCTCTGTAGTTCACACTTTGAACAAGGATTTGAGGGTTCTTTTAAATTTGGGAACCCCTCTGCCTCCTTCCTTTGTAGGATTTGCCCCTCACCTTGTAGCTACTCTTATAACCCTTACTTCTGATTCCTGGCCTCTTGGCCTTAGAAGCCTAAGGCTTTTTGCTTGCTTTTTGTCTTCTCTGCTGAGAACCAGAAAGGGAACATCCTAGGGCAAAGCTGGCTAAATGCGTGCTTTCCTTATGTCAAGGTCATTGCACTGATTTCTGCCTTCATTTGCTTATTTTCTGCATCTTTCAACTATTTTGTTTTTAATGAAAATGTTTTATCTGAAGTTATTATTATTATTATTACTGGGAAAAGAATTAGTTGGATTATACCTACTCAACCATTCTCAGAAGCAAAACTGCATTTTTAAGTAAACTTTATGCTGAAGTACAGCATAGAGTAACCACAGGTGAACTATCTCTCAAATCAAGAAAAACATCCCCCAAATCGCTTGCTGCAAACCTCATATCATCATCCCCTGAGCAGCTCTCTTGGCTTCAGTCTCATACACTACTTTACCTTTTGTTGGAATTCTTATAAATGGGATATGTAAACACACATGTGAATATTCTAGAAATGCGATTACCCAATGTATTTCTCTTTTTCTCATCCAAGTAGTTACCAACCTGACACGAAGCTTCTGAGATCAGATGATATGGCTGTGCATATTAAGTTTGGTATGACTGTTGGCAGTAAATTATTCTTTTAACTCTGACTTTCTTCTTATCAGAATATTGATGAGATTTCTCAGCATTGCTGTATATAACTGCAGTTAATTTATTTTCATTGCTGTATAGTATTGTCTATTAATATATGACAGCTTGTGAGATCTACAGATGATGGATGGTCTGTTTGCTGGTCTTGGCTATCCCGAAGATTGCTGCTATGGATATACTTGTACATGACTTTTGATAAGCATGTAATCATTTTTTTTTCTACTAAGAACACATCAAATTTTGGAGTTGATAGATTACAGTCCATCCTGCAGCAGGTGTTTTTAGGCAGTTTTGCAGTTTACATAAATTTGTATTTTCTATAATATCAAGTGAAGATTTTATGAGTTTCTTTACACTTTTGCATATAGCTTATAATTACGTGCTCTTCATTTCGAGTGGGAGTGTAGTGTTTCCTGTGGTGGCTTTAGTTTACATTGCTCTGATAACGTTTGCACAGGCTACCTTACTATTGGATATATTCTTTATGCATACATCATCAAATTTATTACCCATTTTTCTTTCGCATTTTCTGCTTTTTACACACAATCACAATTGATATACTGCTATGTTTTCTTTTAGTATATTGCTTTAGGATTAACTCTCCAATCCAATTGGAATTAATGTCTGGATATAGTGTTAGATATGGGTCAAAATTTGTTCTTACTTTTGTGGATACACACTTGATCCAACATTATTTGTTGGAAATGCCGTATGTCTGTGGCTAAGTTTCTCAACACTTCTCAGATAATCTTTCTAATTTTGTGCCAATACAAAACTGCCAAAATTATTATAGCTTTATAATGCATTATGATACAGTATTTGGTAATGTAACTTA